TAAAACGAACTAGCATTAAGTTTTAGTCTTTTTTTTTTTTTTTTTTTTTATTATTTTTATTTTTCGATTTACACACAGAGTCGAACCCTACCATTCGACAATTTCTCATCAATAAACATCTTGATTAGAAGCGGTGAACAACGATGACAATCAATTAAGAAATAATAGACGTTTGACCGCTGTGACAGTTTGGTTATTATTACATATATATATATCGTTGTCGATTGCCAAGATCTCGTACTCGAATAGTCCAGTAGTCGCCTACTGGAAGCAAATAATCGTCTAAGTTTAAACTTAGAATATCGAGCACTTGATATTTTAGAAAAAAAAAATATATATATATATTTCGTTTGTAGAAAAAAAAAGTTTTTGCGATTACAGCGAGGACGACAGGTATGCAAAGGTAGCGTGGAAAGATGTGAAGGTCGGTGACCTGGTTCACCTCTCGAACAACGAACTCGTGCCGGCTGATCTGCTGCTTCTACGAAGCAGCGATCCTCAAGGCGTAGCGTACATAGATACGTGCAATCTGGACGGCGAGACCAATTTGAAGGAGCGACAAGTCGTGAGAGGTTTCGTGGATCTCCAGGACACGTTCCAACCGGCCAAGTTTCGTTCCGTGATCGAGGTCGATCAACCGAGCACCAGGATATATCGGTGAGTTCTGTTCCTTTATACCGTCCCTCTATTCGAGAGCGAGTAATCAATAAGATAATAAATTGCGTATAGGTTCCATGGAGCTGTTGTACATCCGAACGGTGGCAGAGTACCTGTCTCTACGGAGAACCTTTTGCTCAGGCAGTGTTTGTTAAAGAATACGGATTTCGTCGAGGGTATAGTGATATACGCCGGCCATGAGACGAAAGCGATGCTCAATCATGGCGGACCCAGGTACAAGGTATATATATATGTAACAAAATTTATCGATCAAAAATTATGAACGAAACGATGAAAGTTTTGAAAATGACAATGAAAAAAAAGGTATTAAGAGGGAAGGGATATTTTTTTCAGCGTTCAAAATTGGAGAAACGGATGAACAGTGACGTTATATGGTGTGTGGCGATTTTAGTTGTGTTATGCTTGACAGGCGCGACCGGTTGTCGGTTCTGGCTCGCCGAGTTTTCCGATTTAACATTTGTCCCGTTCATACCGATCCTCCAGGATCCGAATTACGAAAGTATGCTAACGTTCTGGACGTTTGTTATTATACTTCAAGTGATGATACCTTTAAGCCTTTACGTCACTCTTGAAATGGCGAAAGTCGGCCAAGTTTATCACATTGGGCACGACATCGCCCTCTATGACGCGGAGACGGGACGCTCGGCCGAATGTCGCGCCCTCAATATTACAGAGGAATTGGGCCAGGTGGGTATACCGATCGATCGATCGAGTTTTTTTTTTTGTTTTTCACTCCCCCCTCCCCCATCAAATTGATCCCGATGGAAGGATGCAACGTTTTTTTTTTTTCTCTTTCTTTCTCTATCTCTCTCCACTTCAATAGGTGCAGTATATATTCTCTGACAAAACTGGCACGCTCACTGAAAATAAAATGCTGTTTAGACGGTGCGCCGTAGGAGGGCAGGATTATTCGCATGGCGGAGATGGGAAAAATTTGATACCTTCCTCGCGATTGAAGGAAGATCTTCTTATAGGTACATTTAGGCAACATCTACAAGAATTTCTAATCGTATTAGCGATATGCAACACTGTTGTGGTCAATTCCCAACCTCATTACGATACCATGAACTCGAGCGGGGTGATAGAAGATACTCGGAGAAACGAAGAAACTGGAAGGTATTCGATTTCATCTCTATCGATTATCCGATTATTCGCAAATACTTTATTTCGTTCGTATCATTTCAGGTACACGAGAATGATAGATTCTCGAAGTTTAACACCTTCGCCAATTATTCCTTTATCCGCGCTATCTCGTCCGACAAACAGCCTCGATGAAAACGTGTCGTCGATCTCCTCTATGGTCGAGATTGAATCTGCTCTTCACAATTCTACCAAGCTATCGAATAAATTGTCAAGGTCTCGATAATTCTTTTTTTTTTTAAAGATATAAATTTTGGAATAACAAGTAAACAATTGTTTGCAGGCCAAAATTCTTAAATGTAACGTCGATATCAAGCTTGGGAATAGGATTGCTTGGAAGAAAATTGTCTCCGAACGGTGAACACAAAAGACGCAGCCCACTAAGTCCCGTTATTGATGCGAGTGGAAAGAGCGGAGACGAATTCTTGCCTGCAACTGCAATTTACGAAGCGGAAAGTCCGGACGAGCTTGCTTTGGTGAATGCAGCGCGTGCTTATAACGTGAAACTTCTTAAACGAACATCGCGTAATGCGATTGTTTCCTTGCCGGATAAATCTATTCTTAGTTTTGAAATTCTTCAAGTAAGTTTATTACGAACGAAATTGTGCGCGCGATTATCTATCTTGTTTCTTCTTGTTCCTTTTGTTTTTTACACGTCGACTACATACTTTTTTTTTTTAACATGAATTATTAATAACAACATATTTATTTATAGACTTTAAATTTATTTTTAAAATTTAAATTTCAGATTTTGCCATTTGACTCGAATAGAAAATGTATGTCCATTTTAGTACGACATCCTCTTACTAATGAGGTAGTGTTATATAGCAAAGGTGCCGATACAACGATACTATCGTCTCTAATTCCTCAAGATGAAAATTCTATAACCACTATCAAAATTCGACAATATCTTCAATCGTATGCACGGCAGGGTCTTCGAACTTTGGTAATGGCTAAGAAGTCTCTGACAAATCAAGAATACGAGAATTGGCGTCAAAAGCATTCCGAAGCAGAACTTGCAATGGAAAATCGTGAACTTCGTATTAAAGATTCTTATGCAAATCTGGAATGTCATTTGACCCTGCTAGGTGTTACTGGAATTGAAGATAAACTTCAAGTTGGTGTACCTGAGACTATGGATACTTTAATGGCAGCAGGAATTGTAGTTTGGGTTTTAACAGGTATTTTTATTTGTAATAAAACTCACTTGTGTGTAATCTTAAAACGATTATAATTATTAAATATATTAAATTCAAAGGAGACAAACCAGAAACCGCGGTTAACATTGCATATTCAGCGCGTCTTTTTTCGCCTGCGATGCAATTATTGTGGTTACAAGCAAGATCCAAGTCTGTTGCCGAAGCTTTGATTCATGGATATTTGGAATCTACACGTAAAAAAAATACAGTTCAGGGAATAGAAAATATTAGGGAAATTACAATGCTTAATCGTGATGCAACGGAAAACGAGGCGTATAGAATAGATAGTTCTTGGCCGAGACAACGAGCGCTTGTTGTTGATGGCAAAACTTTAACTGTTATTCTTGATCCACGATCAGGATTAACCGGATTATTTCTTGAGTTAACAAAAACGTGTTCTAGCGTATTAGCTTGTAGAGCTACACCTCTTCAAAAGGTAATGAATCTTGATTTGTTTTGCCTCTTTTCAGAATTCATTATATCCTGAATTTTTACCATATAATATGCAGGCATATATAGTACGTATAGTAAAGGAACAATTGGGAATGAGGACTTTAGCGATTGGTGACGGTGCTAATGATGTTAGCATGATACAAACTGCAGATGTAGGAGTTGGTATTTCTGGACATGAAGGTACACAAGCTGTCATGGCTGCAGATTTTGCCATTTCACGATTCTCAATGCTTAGCAGACTTCTTTTGCTGCATGGTCATTGGTGTTACGATCGATTGTCTAGAATGATCTTATATTTCTTTTACGAGAACGCTACCTTTGTTTTCGTTCTGTTCTGGTACCAGGTATATCTTATGTCTATTTTATTTTTAATGCTAGTTCAATGCTCGTGTAACGATGATTTTGTTGATAGATTTATTATTTATTTATAGATTTATTGCGGATTTACTGGAACCGTTATGATGGATCAAATTTATTTAATGCTGTATAATTTATTGTTTACATCTATGCCACCACTTGTATTAGGCATATATGATCGAGTGGCTTCATCCGGTGTTTTATTGTCTATGCCTCACGTGTATAAAAGAGGACGTCTGGGATTAGTATATCAAGCGCATACATTTTGGATAACCATTGCTGATGCTTTGTATCAAAGTGTCGTAATTTTCTTTATAAATGAGGGTGTTAGTATAGTTTGGAAATAGTTTAAGATAATATAAATTAATATAAATTAATACCGATTTAATTAAATTGTGATCTCTTTCTTTAGGTATACTATGATTCGGTTATTGACATTTGGGAATTTGGAACTACTATAATGACATGTTGCGTTGTTACTATGTTGACTAATATTGCCATAGAAATTAGATCTTGGGTAAATTACATATGAAACTATTGTATTTCAAAGATTTATTTTAAGTTATAGATATATTACACATTATATGATGTGGTTTTAGACTATAATACATCTCTTTGCCGTAATGGGATCATTGGGAATATTTTTTGGTTTTTGTTTGATTTATAATATAGTTTGCGTTAATTGTATGGGTCTTCTATGTTCATATTGGGTAATGGAAATAGCTGTCATGAGGTATACATATTGGCTTACAATAATACTTACCTGCGTTTTGGCATTGTTACCTAGGTATGATTTCTATATTTTTCGTATTAAAAACTAAAAAAATATAATAAAAATTAAATTAAAGATATCTTATTATCATTTATTTAGATTATTTTATAAAACTATAAAATCAACAATAAATCCAGATCTTATGCAAAGTGCTATATTTAATGCACCATCGAAAAGTGGCAGTCATAGACAACGAATCGCGGAGAGAAGAGAGAATAATTTTATTGCAGGTTGGTCACGTTCAACGCAGCATGCTACTATAAGGTATGAATACAAATTTGTTTTTTAAAACTGAATTACATGTATTTTTTGATTTTTTTTTATATTTCAGAACGGGGACTAAGCACGATACATTGACAACTATCGTTGCATGACATATCCTGAAGAATCAAATAAGACTGTCAGCACGTTATAACAGAATAATTAAAACTGTTAATAGTGCTATTCTATTAAAATTATTGGAAAGAAGCGATATCCTTTACCGCATTTCAATCTTTATTGTTCCTAAGAATTGTAAAAGTATTGTCAGGACATGTATTATTAATTTTAATATGCATTTTTTCATGAAAAAATGCTATAGTTTATGGAAATTATGTTAGTTATTATTTAATATTAATTTTTATTATTCATCGAGTGGCCTTAAATTTAGACTACTACTGTTTATTGCATTTGATGGCTGTGACTTTTAGGGACCAAAACTTTTAATCCAATAGTTACGATATCGATTAATGATTCGATTGAAAAGTACGTTTATACGTGTATGCTTCAGTTGTATATCGAATCAATTTATTTACATCACAATTTCTCATATAAGTGTAAAAGAATGTATATTGTAAAAAAAAAGGAAAAAATATATGTAAAATGTATATTGCCTTTTATGAAATTCATATTATATAAATTATATAACTTGTGCTAGTAATATGTACGAGTATATAATGCATATGCATTTTATACTCGTGATTTGTATAATAGTAATTTTGGAAACATATGTATGATCTGCCAGCATAAAAGTTTTACTAAATGTGTAGGTATATTGGACATATGTTACAAATGTTGATATAGTATTTTGATAAACGATAAAGAAAAAAATGCATGTATATAATAATTTATCAGTAAAATCAAGTGTTCTTCAAATATTTATATTTCATTGATGTCAAATATCTGTCTTTTTTTCCTAGAATCCTTTAATGTATAATATAAGATTAATATATACTTTCATTTATAATTTCGAATTCATATTTATCTTTATAATTTTTATAATTTTATTGATATGTTTCAAATTGGTAAATTTTAATTATCATATTTTTAAAAATAACTATCATTAAGAATACTCCATTATTTGTCATCAAATTTTTTCATCAATCATATTAATTATAACTCATAATATAATTATTTCTTTTTTGTTTTTACTTTTTTAGTTATTCTTTCATTTTGGCGGATTAAACATAATTTATCCGTTGATAATTGCAATGAGCACCACTGGTTAATGCGGAAACATGGAATCTCTAGTGGGGATAGGCTGAAAGGTTGATGATGGGTTAGGAGAGGGAAAGGAGAGAGGGCACTTTTAGCGTGCTGCAGCAATGATTATCTCGGCATATATTCAGTATTCTTTCTGTCAAAGACAGGTGGAGTTTACGTTCATGATTTGCTAGCCGCTTTATTTGGTCGCGATTGTGCCTAGTATTTCGGGAAACTCGCGACCAACCGTGTTGCGAATTCGGTAGTATGGTTGTACAAAGCGTGTACAGAATAGAAGGACAAAGTGAAAAATAAGATGTTCTTAAGAATTATTTGAATTTCTTTGTCATGAAGTTACGGTTTACTCGAAAATGCGGTATAATTTGAGTTTTTTGATCTGAACAAAATCTGTAACCGGATTTATATCACAGTGTTTTTAATTTGTTTTTAGAATAGTGAAACAAACAATAAGAAAATCACGTGATAAGGAAATAGGCTATTGTATGTTGTGTTAACAAAGGCCACATATTCATTACTTATTACATTATATTATTAATTATAAATTGCAAATCTTTGAATTAAAGAAACAGTTCTTATCGAGTTTTCAATATTTTTTTTTAAAAATAAAATTTTTTCCATCCACGAGTGTTACTCACATGATATCCTTGGTTTTACGCTAAATGATTTTTATAATACGCTAAATATACATACAATAAAGTTAAATTAGTACTAATTTTTTATATACAAATGAATGTTCCACGTTTTCTCTTTTGCATAATTCTAATTTCTTTCTTAGAATAACTTATACATACATATAATTGATATCATTTTAAGGATGGAATAGAAATCTCTAAAACTATGTATTAAAAGTAATAATTAACAAGTGTTAAATGAATACAGAAGTGAACCGATATTTTATGAGAGTAACAATTGCATATGTAAGTTACATTTATACATATTGTATTTATTAATTGAAATTTTCTTTCGAATGTCTATATTTTAAAAGATTTTTATGTTTTAAATTTTTACTCTCTCGTAAAAATCAAGAGATATATGCGAGTTTGTAGTTACCGATTGATGATATCAACAATTTATACGTATAATACATATAATGTCCAAGAAATAATATTTATTATTATATAATATTAAATTTATATTATAGTGAAATACTTGTACAAGGCCATCTATGACGTTATCACAATGTTAAATGTGCGAAAGGAATGATATATCTTTTTGTATGATTCGGTATAAGTGTTGTTCGTATATGACAAAAACTGGTCGACATAGTAAGAGCGAGAAATATGACATTTCGAATTTCATGAGTTCGATATCGTGAATGTAAAGCAGGACAACGGCACGATAACGGATTGCCTATAACATGATAACGATCTATACACAAGGTTACTAATCCAGTTTATTCTTATGATTACCACAATATGTTACTAGCAAGAAACGGTTAGAAAACGCGACTTGCATAGAATCCGTAAAATATATATATATATATATGTAGAACGTAAATGAGTCATTGCACCGAAAACGGAAGTGGTTGAGCATTGTTCGTTAACAGGAATCAAGAAACGTGACAACAAACGAACTAATTTGATAAGGCTGCTATAGATTAGAGAAAAATCAAAATTATCAATATCGTATAATAGTATCAAAAGATCTTGATGTTTGAACAATGGAACATTCTAGTGTAGTATATTTGTATATACTTGGTAAATCATATATATATCATTGAATTTTTTAATTTTTTACAGATAAGAATGATATAGATAATGAAAGTAAAATGAATTTTTATAGTAATGCTATAAAATAGAGAAATCACTCTCTACGAGTATTAATGAATCATCAGTTGATCGTTATCGTTTGATAGGTTTGACATTCTAAATTCACTTCTTGTGAACTTCATTAATTCATGAGGACAAAAATTGTGACACTTTGGTATCGCTAGTCAACCGGCTTCTTAAACACGTTATGGTATCATTCTTATAAATAGTGTATTCATACGAAGTGTAAAAGTATAATAAGTCGGAAACATAGCTGTCGAAGATTTGAAAGGAAGCATTGAGGTGGTGCAGTGAATTATTAATAACAAAAGTAAGGTACAATCGCGTTAAAAATTTAGAAACAATATAATTACTTCGAAGAAACTAGTAAAAAAAAAAAAAAAGGTAATTTTAAACGTATTTAATGTGCATATTCCGACAAAAGTGTGTCAACAAGTAAGATAATGTACGAAACGACATTTTCAACGAAAATAACAAATTCTTAACAAAGAAAGAAAGAAGTGACTCGAACGTGATTGCTTAAGATTTGGATAGTGTTGATCATTGAAATATTTTGATTACTTACGTCGATCAAAGGAATGAGTTCCCGTGGGTTAATGCCATCCTTTTCGAGCATCAAGAGCAGCGCGTAACAGGTAAATCGAATCGAAAGTGAGCCGTTTCATTGAGTAACGCTGTTTTCGCTATTATGCGATTGCCACGAATTACGTAATTGAACAACAGAGAACGAAAGAGGGACGAAGACGTAAAAAAAGACGTGTATGAAAAGCGTATTGAGAATGACCTTCGAAATCTTCTCGACTGTCCGTCCATCGAGAGGGAAGAGTTCGGGGATAAGGTCGAAAGCAAAAATTTAATCCTATATCTAGCTGTGATTGTTCCAAAGGTATCGAGCCGGGAAGAATCGAAGAAAAGGATGTGGTGCGGGAACAGAAGATGATCCTAGCGAGACAACGCATTCTGGCAAGAGTATAGAGATCTTTTAAAGCAATTATAGTTGGTTATGCCGTGTCTCTCAGCAGAGCAGGTGTATCGTGAGAGATGACAGTCACTTATACCGCTGAAGTCGCTACCTGCAAAGGTCTCGGTTGCTTTCTAAAATTACTCCTAAGGTAAGCGGTTTGGCTTGGTAGTTCGATTCACTCGGTTGACACGTTATGTGCGAAAAAAGAAGATCGCGGGCGAGAAATATATTTTCTCTTTTGTTTTTGCTTTCGTTCGAGATTTTATATTCGCGTTATAAAATTATCTATTCTGCCGCAATATCGCGTTATTTTATACTATTTGATCGAAGATAATCGTAATGGTAGATCATCATTTGGTAGATAATATTCAGTATACAGAGTAAACGATAGATTTTTTTTTTTTTGAAAAATCAAAGTGTAGTCCGCTAATAGATCGTAATCTATTTTTAAAATTGTGGACTTTATATTTTTTACTTTTAACGCAATTATCAGTTATTAGATAGATAATTGAAAGTTTGTTGAATGATATTTCGAATACTTCCGTCATAATGTTCCTAGAAGAAAATGTGTCACATGTATACTTGTGCGTGAAGGATATTATCAAGAAATGTAACTAAGATTGTCTTTCGAGTATATATACTTGTATACATCGAATGAAGATCTTATCGCTAATGCCCCGATCGTTCGGAAAAGCTAAAAAAATTATTCTCATCGTTTTTATTTATATGAATCTAAAAATAAATAAACATCATTCGAAGGTATATGGAATATTATTAATCTTTCAGATTCTTTTTTCACACTTTTTTATATATTCTCGATTTTCATTAACTTTTCCATTTTTTCACGCTTATATATTCCGTGCTATACTCTTGATATTTTATTTTATAATTATTCTTATAATTTATACCTTATCTTTTTGAAGAAATCAAACGCGAAAAAAATTCCACATGCGATTTTGCTTTAGCTATTTACGCTTTTTTAAAGTATTCACTTTACTTTACTCGTTATCGAAACGCTTATTGCGATAACAAGTTTTTAACGATCAAATGACCCGCGTTTAATAAAATTATTTTATCTCCAGGAAATAAATTTTCGATTACGAGAGGATAAATATAAAAATTAAACAAATCTCCGATAATATGTTGAAGTCTGCGGCACATGTGGTAATTCATTTTCGAGAATCGCTCTGCGAGAATCGATTCGCATTTTATTCGCCCCCGGCTTAGTTACTACTCGGGTCATATTATTTCGAACATAATATGATGGCGCGTAAACACCGACTTTGCTTTCGATTAGAGTGCGTGAGAACAATGGAGGATTGTGCGAGGCTTAGCCACGCGGATGCGAATTCAAGGATGTTATGATGAAACTGATTTTGACATAATTCGCGAGATTCAAGGCGATTCCTCTTAAGAAGTGACGATCTCGCGATTCGTTTGGAATGCTTCTAACGTATCCCGCGATTGAATAGGCAGCCAACACTCGTAATTAGACGATCCATTAGACGAACTACATTTCTTGGAATTCGTCTCGATTAAAACTGTCTTACGTAAATTACGATAAATATCGATTGGATATTTTTTTTTTTTGCAACAAGTCATTATTGAATTAATTTAAGAAAATTCGCATTAATCGATCGTTCATTATATTATTGTTTATTTGCTCATCAGATGGCGAGCCAGCATATACAAGCTGGTCTGGTTGGACCTGGCCCTCTTCCTCTTCATATATTATTCGCTTTCGAGTATCTACCGATTGATACTGGACGACGAGCAGAAGAAGATCTTCGAGGCTATAGTGACATACTGCAACGAGTACAGCGATCTGATCCCTCTCTCCTTCGTGCTGGGCTTCTACGTTAGCATCGTTATGACCAGATGGTGGAATCAATATATGGTGATACCGTGGCCAGACTCGATCGCCGTTTTCGTATCGGCCACCATTCACGGCAACGACGAGAGAGGTCGATTAATGCGGCGAACTATCGTCAGGTGCGCATTTCTATAAACAAATAATCCGATCGATATTTGAACTAACTAACTAAGTTTCGCAATCTATTCTCTTCCTTTTCAGATACGTGTGCGTCTGCCTAACGCTGGTGCTGGCCATGGTGTCGCCCCGTGTGAAGAAACGATTTCCCACGTTGGAGCATTTCGTGGAGACTGGCTTGTTGTTGGAGAACGAATTGGTCATATTCCAAAGTCTGAACGCCAAGTTCCCCAAGCCTAGCAAGCATTGGCTGCCAATAGTATGGGCGTCGAGTATCGTGACGCGGGCGAGGAAGGAGGGCCGTATTCGTGACGACTTCGCCGTGAAAACGTTGATAGACGAGTTGAACAAGTTTCGCGGTCTCTGCGGCAGCCTCATGCACTACGATACAATTAGCGTTCCTTTAGTTTATACTCAGGTATACGCGCGACAAAGTCGTTCAGTATATAGAATTTTATATACGGTATATAAGATAAACCTTTTTCGCAGGTGGTAACGTTGGCTGTGTATACGTATTTTTTAACGAGCGTCATGGGCCGACAATGGGTGCAGAATTCGTCCACGTCGACGATCGATCTCTACTTCCCGGTATTCACGACGCTACAATTCTTCTTTTACATGGGTTGGTTGAAGGTAGCCGAGACATTGATTAATCCATTCGGCGAGGACGACGACGATTTCGAAGTGAACTGGATAATCGATAGGAATTTACAAGTATTTTACACACGGCTTTCTAATCGACCTTTCGCTACGGCAAAAATGTGCACGGTGCCCGAGAAGAGCGCGTTTACGCTTCGAAATTGTTAAAAAAAAAAAATTGATGATAAAAACAAAATAGGTGCAGAGCGACTATAGTCGCCCGTAGTATCTCATTGATTATAATTGACCTGTAGCAGTGGTATTTATATATAGAACGACTATAGTCGCCTGTAATATTTCAATGGCATCTTATACAGAGTGATTATAGTCGCCTGTCAATAGTATTTTATATACAAATTATAGTCGCTCATAGTGCATAGTAGCATTTTAGGCAAAGCGATTATAGTCGCTTGTAACACGTTAATTATTTAGAGCGACTATAATCAATAACATCAATGCCATCTTATGCAAAGTGACTATAGTCGTAGTATCTCAATGGCATCTTGTGCAGAGCGACTATAGTTACCCATGGCACATTAGTGGCATTTTATGTAGAGCGATTATAGTCGCCTGTAGCATGTCAGTAACATTTTATATAGAGCGACTATAGTCGCCTGTAGTACCTCAGAGCGATTATAGTACTTCAGTGGCAACAAAAATGACTATAGTCACCTATATCAGTGTCTTCTTATGCAGAACGACTATAATCGCCAGTGGCATTTTATGTAAAGAGACTATAGTCATGTATATAGTACAGTGGCATCTTATACAGAGCGACTATAGTACTAAGTGGCAACTTATGTAAAACGACTATAAGTCGTAGCATGTCAATGGAATCTTATATTAAGCGACTATAATCGCCTGTACTACATCAATGGCATTTTATACAAAACGATTATAGTCGCTTGTAATATCTCAATGGCATCTTGTGCAGAGCGACTATAATTACCCGTGGCACATTAATGGCATTTTATGTAAGACGACTATAGTTGCCCGTAGTGGCATTTTATATAGAACGATTATAGTCGCCTGTAGCATGTCAGTAACATTTTATATAGAGCGACTATAGTCGCCTGTAGTACCTCAGAGCGATTATAGTACTTCAGTGGCAACAAAAATGACTATAGTCACCTATATCAGTGTCTTCTTATGCAGAACGATTATAATCGCCAGTGGCATTTTATGTAAAGAGACTATAGTCATGTATATAGTACAGTGGCAACTTATGTAAAACGACTATAAGTCGTAGCACATGTCAATGGAATTTTATATTAAGCGACTGTAATCGCCTGTACTACATCAATGGCATCTTATATAGAGCGACTATAGTCACCTGTACTATATCAATGACATCTTATACAGAGCGATTATAGTACTTCAGTGGCAAAAAAATGATTATAGTCACCTATATCAGTGTCATCTTATGTAGAACGACTATAATCGCCAGTGGCATTTTATGTAAAGAGACTATAGTCATCTATATAGTACAGTGGCATCTTATACAGAGCGACTATAGTACTAAGTGGCAACTTATATAAAACGACTATAAGTCGTAGCACATGTCAATGGAATTTTATATTAAGCGACTATAATCGCCTGTACTACATCAATGGCATTTTATACAGAGCGATTATAATCATCCATAATACCTCAATGGCATCTTATATAGAGCGACTATAGTCACCTGTACTACATCAGTGACATCTTATACAGAGCGATTATAGTCTGTGACATTTTATATAGAACGAATATAGTCGCTCATAGTACCTTAATGGAATCTTATATAAAGCGACTATAATCACTACATCTTATACAGAGCGACTATAATCACTTGTAATATCTCAATGGCATTTTATATAAGCGACTATAGTCACCTGTACTACATCAGTGACATCTTATACAGAGCGACTATAATCATCCATAATACCTCAATGGCATCTTATATAGAGCGATTATAGTCGCTCATAGTATCTTAATGGAATCTTATATAAAGCGACTATAATCGCCTATTCTACATCTTATACAGAGCGACTATAATCACTTGTAATATCTCAATGGTATTTTATATAAAGCGATTATAGTCACCTGTATTACATCAGTGGCATCTTATATATATATAGTCGCCCTATATATGTTTCATCTTATGTAGAGTGACTATAGTAGCGAAAGGGTTAAGATCGCGTTTTATTATATTATATATTATATATATATTTTTTTAATTCCATATCTCTGTAATGTCAAGGTTAGCTACCTGATCGTTGACGAGATGCATCACGAACATCCAGAATTGATCCGTGATCAGTACTGGGACGAAATCTTTCCTACGGAGCTTCCATACACAGCTGCAGCGCAAGCTTTCCGTGAAGAGCATCCGCAACCGTCGACGGCTGGAATTCAGTTGTCCGCGGCGCAGCAAGAACTGCAACCGTCCACAGCCAGGATCGATGACATGGCAGCGGATTTCCCGCAAAAATTTCGTAGCGACGTGGCGGATGATGCCGAGTCCGGTATACACTTTACAGCTACTGGAAAAATGTCAAGGTTGGTGGTTCTCAAATTAAACGCACTTATTTTACACAAATATATTTTACTTTACGCAACGTTGGTTTCTTTTTCTTTTTTTTCTTTTTTTTTTTTCTTTTTCTTTCCTCTGTAAAAATTTTAAAACGCTTAACCAGGAGTGCTACCGAAAGTGGTAAAATAGCAAGGTAATAAAATATTATACATTTTCTTGCATCGAATATCGTGTATCACGATTTAGAGATTTGAAACATTATCACAGAAGAAACGCGTATATTTACTCGTAGAAGCGCGAGCAGAGTGAGCACACGGGATCGTACACTGAGCGGTGGCTCTACTCCGAGTATCATCGGGGATTCTCTGACGAGAGTGAACAGCGTGACCAGTGTGCTGAAACGATTATTCAGCAAGGATGACAGACCGGACGGTGGGACGTCGAGCGGTACTAAAACTCCTGGTAGACTCGCGACTTCTAGTTCTGCCGCTTCGTTGCAAAATCGAATTGTCGGTACGTTCAAATTTTCATCGCAATATTCTAATTACATTGTTCCAATTATTCTTCTGATCAAAAAATTTCCAGCGGGAGGGGGCTCGATGAGGATCGGAGTGATCAAAGAGGAAGCCGACGAGCAGATGACTTTGGTATCGATGAAGTCGGACAAGAAGCCTCATGTGCAGAGCATATTTTCACCGGGACCACCGCCACCTAGCGCCCCCGTCGCTGTTCCCGGCATGGAACATTCGCGAAACGGAGAGATATTTTCGTGCAGCGCTCCTATAACAGGTGGCGTGTTAGAAGGAAGTAACGGTGAAAGTACCAACGACAGACGATACGTGCCTGATTCAAGGCTGGTATTACACATACACACACTTACATATATATAAAACTTTAATTGTAATTACGATTATAATTTTCTTCCTTAATAATAATAATCATGGACGATTCTTTTCTAATAGAACGCAACGGACCACGCAATCGGCACGTTCGAGCATTATTTATGAACCAGCAACGAGCTACGTCGGAAGTGGAATCGGCAGTGATCTCATCAGTACTCGTACTTCGTCATGTAGCAGCATCAATTCGGACGACGAATTCTCAAAACTAAAATCGGAAAGGGAGAAACAAAGGCGCGAGAAAGTGGTACGAAGACTGGCTAGAAGCACCAGTGGGCATAATAATTTGATCGGTGAACATTCGAGAGGCTCCTTGGACGAGCATCTTCTGTTAACAGATATGGCGAATACCTCGCGTTTATCCATGATGCATGGAGAAAACGAGGATACGGGCGTAAACGAAAATGATGGTGTTTAGCAGGATCACAATTATCGATGGTTTATTATCGATGTTTAGTTTCAATAACGCGAACGAATGTTGAAAGGGGATGAATGCGAAGGAAAAAATAAACGTTGTAAACGTTATTTCTATGATATTTAAACGAGAAGACTACCGATCAATCGAAAGATCGAAGAAAAAAGTACTTAAGCGAATTTTGACGCCCTCTCTTATTTCTGTCTGAGATTGATTCAGATGATCATAATAGCTCTACAAGGTATTATGTTTATATACGAATTTTTTTTTACTAGAATGATATTGTAGAAAGAAATAGAGAGAAATGATGATAAGTCAAGTTTAATCATAATTTGTGATTATAAAAAAAGAGTGAAATTGAATAGAAGAGTGAAAGTATAGAATTAATAGATGAAATTTATAAGCATTTTCATTGTAAAGAAAAAAAAAAAAAGAAAAAGGAGAAATTACAACAATGTTTACATATACGTAAAATAAGCAAGATGTGCTAAGTTGCTATTATGATTTTACGTATATTGTAAATCTCGTTTTCCATTTTGCAAACAAAACTTTTCTATCCTATGTAATTTCTAAATGATTTATATTTAAAATGATTTATATTAATATATTTAGAAATATATAGAATGGACAAGATGTTACAATATGGATAAGATATTTGACTTTCAATAAAAGATACTCAAATATCGTATTAAACATCCAAAGATTACGTATATAAGTGCAAACATCGAAAATTATTGTTGCTATATTTAAACAATGAATTTATTATATATATATAAATATATATATATATATATACCGGTATACCTCTCACTTCAAACTCTACGTATGGTAAAATGACAAGAATTTGTAAGATCATTGTCATCAAAATATTGCCTTATATGATAGTTTTCTACATTTGCGTTTTTACAAATGAATTATAGCTGCCTAATGTTTAAAGAAAAAAGAAAAAAAAAGGCTTATAGATGAATTCTTATTTTAATTGATTATTTAACTCTTATTTTTTACATATTAAGTAGTTATTAATATAAAAAAATTGAAAAGAATTCAAGCAATAACAGTATAATAATAATTCAAGTTAATTCATTTTTTTCAAACATTATGATAGATTATTTGCACAAGAGATTTTCAATGAAATATATAAAAAAGTGTTCAGGATCAATTAAAATCTTTGTTACAAAATGTTGAAGTGCCTGTCTTGTGCCTAATCTTATTCAATCAAAAGATAGTAGTATTCACTTGACGAATTGTTTCTTGTTAATTTAAGTTTCGATTACTTTGAATAATAATATGTGATCAATGTTATGCTCAAAATAAATATTTTTACAATACAATAATATAATGCGCTCGAGCACGCACATTCCAGGAGACGGAGAATAAATTTAGATCGAAGACAAAGTCGATAAAACGATCGCACGTTGATAAAATTAAGTTGATATTTTTCTTACGTTTATAACTTGTATTTATAATGTCGCACATATTTTCGACTAATTACAAATCTATATGTAAAGAATAGGAGAGAGATAAAAATTTGAAAGAAACTTCGAAACGAGTAGCACGTCGATAATAATATAGAGGAAAATTAGCGAAAAATTAACATATGAATTCTGTATATTCATGTATTGTGTATATACGCGTGTACAGAAAGAAGCTTATGTAGCATATTCAACATTCGGTACTGCCTATATATAGCTTACGTTAGACAATGCATCTTTTATTTTGGAATTACATTCCAGGACGCGAATAAATCCGATGGTGCTCATCGTTTAACAGTATTACGATGTACTAGAAATAATATCCTCTTGGATTGTCATACAAAAATTAATAATTTTTCTGAATAAATAAAAATATATTACAAATCAAATGGTTTTATATAATATATATATATATATATATATATATATATATATACACATATATATATACACTACTAC